CGAGGATCGCGGATCGCTTTAAGCTACCAACGGGAGAACGCGCCCACGAGGGCGAGCATGTTTCTCACCGACATGGGTTATTCATGGAGTATATAGTTCTCCGTTCTGCCCCTTACACGTGTTCTAACGCCACGCACATGCACACGCACACGCATCCGAACACGTACTTTTCGTATCTCTGTTTGGCTCTCTTTCGGCCACTCTCTCCTCTTCTTTTTCCCTCGTCTTGCTACTTTCGAGCCCACGCATTGTAATCCTCGTTGATGCTCGGCTGCGCAGACAGAGAGAGAGAGAGAGAAAGAGTGGAAGAAAAAAAAGAAAGAGGAACGCGGAGGAGGAATGTGTCGCGCGCGGCATGTGGCCGCATTATGTACGCTTTGCGTGAGCGCTCGCGATCGGAACTTGTGAAATCCTTCCTTATACACACGCCTGGAGGGTTTTCGGCGATTCGTATCTGCTTTAATTTGAATAATCGTCGCTCGTTCGCTTTCGGGCCACGGCGGGCCGTTATCTCGCGGCCTCATCCGCCGCGGCAGATGCTCCGCTCGAGTGCGCCCGGCCAGGAGGGAAAACAGGACCTCGTAAAAACGGCGAAAAACTCTTGCGTTTACGTTTCCCTGGCGCCGCGACGCCCTCGACCTGCCCACTCGAGCTCCTCCACGTCCTTTTCCTCCTTACTTTTCGCCCTCTGTGTTTACTTCTCGTCTCCTCGTTATCGCTCCCGCGAACGGCAATCTCGTTGTTATTGTTAGGAACACCCAGAGGTACGAGGGTAAAGGAAACCGTGTATTTACCCTCTCCAGAACCCACTCGAGGAGCTCGCGCCACGAGTGATTTTTGTTCATGGTGTATAGACGCCCACGGTGATCCCTGCTCGAATATCACCGCTTTCGGCGTCCGCTATTGATGTCGAGACACCCGGCGAAAAAACAATTTACAAACAACCAAACTCCCGGGCTGCTCGAAAGCTCCTTAATCGCTACGTGTCCACCTCTGTTTGCGATCGTGCAACCGTTTGTTACATTTCGAGGTTAGGTCTGTCAGGTTAGGAGGTTAAGTCTAGAGTTTTCTGAACTTACGAAATACGGGTTTGTACAGATTCAAAAACACCAGAAACTTGTAAAAATGTCAATATATTTCTACGTTTACAAGGTAGGTTACAATGTACGCAATAGTGACATCAAATGACTCCGCACACAATAGGTCCAAAACTAACAGAGCAATATAGTACACAAGTGTGTCGAAGCAAATATTAATTTCCCTGTCGCTACCGTTAAACAAAGTTTCCCTCGAAGAAAGGGAAAGCAAACACACAGGTAGAGAAAAGAAGTCCAGCTATTGCTCGATCGTTCCGTTGCGCCGAGATTAATTTATTAATGCCGGTGCGCTCGGTGCAGTCATCGAGGAATCATCCTCGCCACCGAATTCGAGCGTACGGCGTGGGTGGCCCGCCACCTCTACCGTCTACCTTCCTCTGGCAACGGTAACCACTACCGGCTGGCGATGCAGCTCGACGCTGGCCTTCTCTTCTCTCCCGATGATGAATGACTTTCGTGTACCTCTCCATGCACGTCGCGGTTCTACCGTCTCTCCGCACCCATCTCGTTCGTCCAGCCCAGTATTCCCTTCCCCCGGCCACTCTTTCCCCTCTCCCCTTCCTTTTTCCTTTTTTCTTCGTTCCAGTGGCCCCCTTCGGTCACTCGACGTGGACGTTGACAGTGACCGTCGCTGGAAAATCGACGATCTCCGACATAACCTCTCTGCAACAATCAACTGTTCCATCCGTCTAGGTGGATGGGAAATTAATATTTGCTTCGATCGGTATGAACGATTCTCTGGCAACGATTGTACCACCAACGACTAAATTCTCATATAGGGGGAGTGTTGTAAATCATACTAATCGTGACATCTCTTAGTAATGTATATAAACTCTATGTAATGTGTCACGTGACTCTTCCTCGCTCACTTTCGTCTCGTCAGCGACTCTTTGCACAACAGTGTCCATAAATATATTTACTTATAATAAACGAAAAGCTACAACAGGGAGGATTACCGAATAATCTACGAGGAGATATCAGCAAATTAGCAATTAAATCGTCGTTTGGCAAGGGATTACCGGGTTACCAGAGCCCTTTATTCCGCTGCAATAAGATTGCAAGGCGTCGATAACCGCAGGTATAGAGGGGTAAAGCTGTAGTCCCCGAATGCAGGTTGCGCCGACCGCGTGAAACTCAGTTAAGTGGATACAGTCGTAGCCCGTTAAATGGCGAGTTTCACCACGGGTGACGAATTTGAAAGGCGACGGTGACACCTCGGAGCATCCGCAACCGCCTTAAAAAGATTCGAAATGCCAAAGCGAACGGGGGGTCCGGGACAAGCTCGTTCATTCCTGCGGTTCGAAAAAGACTCCTCTCGAGCGCGCCGCGCGTCTTTTCAGCTACCTGAAGAAGAAGGAGAGAGAGAGGACGGCGGATGGGTCTCCATATTTTATACGGGACGGGGATCCTTTATGCGCTCGACTACGGGGGCACCCAGCGTGTCGAATAGAATTCAGGAGGCCGGTACACGATAGGTATTTTGACATGCCCGAGAAATTAGTATAATAAAGAGGGGCTAGGTAGACCGGCTAAGTGCCTAAACACACGCCGTAAATCAACCCCCTCGGTGCTCTCCAAGATCCCACCGATGCGGTAAAACCGCGATCGCCGCAATCGTGCGCCGAACCCGTCGGCTCGGATCTTCCGACGTTTGATCGATCGTCACGCGTCCCGTGGACGCTGGACGCCATCGCGATTTTCATTTATTTCATTCCCGGGAAAGTTTATCGACGTTAACGGGACAGAACAGCGCCGAGTACTGCACGGTGTCGTTAGGGGATAAATCATAATCGAGGAACAACGGAAAAATTATAATCGACGAGAATGAGACAGAGGGAGAAATAAAACACGATCAAAGATGGTGAAATATATCTTTATTAGGTATACAACGTACGTGTGAATTCGCTGGATAAGGTACAAAATCAAGATGGCGGTTGATTAAAATCTAATCGTCTCGTGGCAGCAGACTTTCAGTTATTCTTCTTTATATCTGTCCCACGTGCGAACTTGTGTTTCGTTCCGAGTTCTTTATTGCTTTAACCTTTCCGCTAGAGCTTATAGAACATGTAATTGCGACGTGTGCTATATTTTGCACCTATTGTCCAAGCAATAGGTTAACATATGAAAATGTGCGAGTACAACTGTCCACTTTGATCATCGAGTGAAACGTATGCGTAATCGTCGTAGCGGGATATAGATTCCACGCGGTTTCTGCACGAAGAAATATAAACGACATGTATGACGTGAGACCACCTTTCGAGATTCGACGCGAAACGCTGCCAGCGTTTATTCTTTCGACGACGTTCCAGCGGACGCGTCGCGTGCCGGTGAACTCGAATCGTCGAGCTTAAATAAATTCTCAACGCGAACGGTCGCGACGCGAGCTTCCACCTGGAAAGTCGACCCAACACGGAATACGCCTCTATTAGCAGTCGGTGTGGATACGTATATCGCGACGCCTGGGCCAACGCCAGTGGCGTAATCGCTACGCGACGAAAGAACCTTCCGCAGATGTCGCGAGCGAAAAAATTGCTAACCATCTCGAGAAATTCTTTTCCATACTCTCGATCCGGTTCTGCCTAGAAACTTGGACGCGTTTCAAAATAAATGTCGAACAAGCCTAACCTCTTAACGGGCAGCGATAGACATGCCTCAAAGACCAATCTCTGTTTCTCTGGCAATTATTTTCCCTTCTATTCTACGCTGCAACATTGTAACCGTCAAAAAACAGATCGACGCGTAGCTTGGATGGAAATTGAGCAAAGAAAACCGGTAATTTTTGAGGGGTTAAGTCGGAAGAATGTGGGCGTTAAGGGGTGAAGAAACAAACGGAGAAAAAGCAGAAGCGGTTTTCCGAGTTAATCGCGGTTGGGCGATTAGCGAGATGCTGGAGACGCCCGATTCGGGAGGCTGTCGAGAGGATGGTCCTACGCCACTGTTCGTACAGTCGTGGTACAGACGTAGATACGTACGAACGCCAGGCATCCGGTGCGCGAGGGGTCGATCGATCTCTCTTTCGTCGTTGCGCGGCCACGCCGCTTCGAGATACCTCCGCTATCGGTGGTACGGGTGTGGTGGTGGTGGTGGTAACGTCGGCGATGGTCGAAGGTATCGGCGGTGGTCGTGTCGGTGGTTAAGCGGGGGCGTGGCCTGGAGAGAGGCGCCCCCGGTGCGCACCGCCCTTGTCGCGACTCCGTACGTATCGCGGTGTGCCGTGTTTCCGGGTGCTGGTACTGGTCACGTGACCCCGGGGCTCGATCCCTCGCGAACCTAGGTGACCGCCCCCCGAACGGGTCGCGGAGGCTGGAAAAGGCAACGCCCAGCAGGGGCGCCGCGCGACGCGCGCACTCTCCTTCTCTCTCTCATTCGTGTCGGTTCGGTGTCGTCTCGTTATCGGGGCTCCGTGAGCGGCCAGGTCCGAGCGCCGTTGCCGTTGTTAGCTTGGTGGGGCGAACGGTGCGCGTGGGAGGAGGAGCGGCGGCCCAGTGGAGTCCGGGAAGTCGAGCAGCGCAGACGCGTTCGTTCTGCGCCGCGCCGATCCTTAGCCGTACGTTTTTCGAGCACCGTTCCTGCCGCACTCGAACGTCTCACCGACCTATTCGGGACACGATTATATCGTTTCGCGACGATCGCTCCGATATTCCGTGGCAAACGGGTCGCGCGGCCACACGACTCTCGAGCAAAGTCGATGGGAATCGGAGGCGTCCTCTGTCGTTCCTCGTCGACTCGTCGACGACCGCAGAAACGAATCGTACCGCGTCTCGTCGCGTGTGACGGTGGTGATATCGCATACTCCCCGGTGGAGAAGTGACAACGTTCGTAAGAGGAGAGGACGCTGAACGTACGGACGGCGGAACCAAGTCGCGGAAAAATTGAAATCAAAGTGTCGTCTCGCGAGAAGGGATGCCTACGAAGGGGGAAAGGGGAAAAGCGACAGACTTCAGCATCGCGGCCATCATGGCGCCCAGGGGTCCGTCCTTCGGGCATTACCACCTGCAGGGCATTGGCAACACCGCCGCTACCGCTAATACGAACTTGGAATGTGCGACTGCCAGAGAATTCGTCGCCAACTCTGCCCTCGATCACCGTAAGCAGTCATTTAATTTTTCACTCCGCTTCCGGCACACGTACGGGCCGTGGGACCGAAAATCCCGGCGCACGGTATCGCGGAAACTGCGAAAGTCTGCCGCGTTTATCGTCTCATCGCGTTCCTTTTGTTCCACGACTCGGTTACCCGGCGAGATTTACTCTGTCCCGATTTTTAGTCAAGCGTTCCATTCCACCACGTGTTTATCGCGTTTGCGAAGGTTACCCTAACCCTTGCGGTTAAATTGCCACTCGAAAAGTGAGAAAAGATAACGATCGAGACCCCTGTCCCTTCTGGCGTCCAGAGATATTAGCCCGTCACATTCTTACCCTGCGCTCCCGCGACGACTTTATCTCGATGGCATTGGGTGTCGACTCTCCCTTAACGGCGAATTAGAAGGACACAACGCCAACGTAACCTCCATTGACACACTGATTTCTTCTCCGACGGCCGTCATAGAGCTATGCGTTCGAACTCTACTTCTCGGTAGGACGGCGTTCTCGGAAATCGCCGATCTCTTGGTTCTTTCATACACCGTGACTCGCACGATGCAGCCCGGAGACGGGCGAAATCCTCGTCCAGATACAAATGGGAGATAAACGACTTTTTATCCGGTGCCCCCTGAATAAAAATTAAAATTATGCGATGAAATATTTCACAGCGGGCGTGTAAGAGTTCATATTTTAATTACTCCGTTCGTTAAATATGCATTAAGGAAATTAATTCTTGTAGAGAATGGCCCGGTGATTCGGGGAATGAATAAAGAAAACGAAAGTCACAGGTTAATCATAACAAATCTATTTAGATGTCAATGGTTTCGGTGTCCAGATTGACTCTTGATTGAAACGAAAGGGTGGGTTCTAGACCACTCTGAAACGCGGATGTAATCACAAAGGTATCGGGTCGCTTACGATAACGCGTTGACTTACAATGTCGCGGCGACATCAAGAGTATTCGCCCGCATATTGAATTTCTCAAACAAATCTGTTCGAAGAGAATTGTTCCCCCGAGTCCACTGTCCGACGGTGGACTCGGACCAATATGGACGATCGGTGTCGGGAGCGACGGAGTGGCTCGCCTCGCAACAAAATGGTCGAAAAAATCGCGCGAACCGTGTCTCGATTTTTCTATGCAGTGTCTATCGTTTCGATCTTCTCGCGCCGCGGAGCACGTGTTCGTAACAATGCCACGTGCCGACAGGCATTTCTTTCGTTAATTCGTACGGTCGGACGATATTCGAGCGCGTTACCTCGGACGATAAAACTTTCGTCCGCGAATTTAGCCGCGCGGCGCGTCGCTTCGAGGTCCATTAGATCGGGCGTTGACTGGCCGCTGTCGCTTTAATTACAAAAGCGCGATCCATCAGACGGTCGAAAATAGAATCGGGCTGCGCCGGGTGGGAAAAAGACATTTGGCGGGGGGCGGATGATAATTAGCGTCCGAAACGGGAGCACCCGGCGGGCAGAAAATAAAGCCGACTAATTGTTGCCAACGGATCGCGCGTAAATTTTACCTGTTCGCGCCGAAATTAACGATCGCCGTGGCTATCTTTGAGCTCCGAGCGTCGTCCGCGATTTTCACGATGTCGTAAAGTTTTGATAGATCGGCCGCGAGAAAGACGAGACGAAACGCCGCCGTGGCCGCCGTCGGTGGTGGTTTCGCCGCCTACGGAAACGTTTCCTTGCTACTCGTACCGATGTTCCCCGGTGGACGAAAAACCCACCGCCGACGGACAATAATTTTTCCGCGCTCGGAACGTAAATTGCTCCTGTTTTTGTTCGTCTCTACGCGTCCGTTCGGCGCTTTCAGTCGGTAATCACATTAACGCACTTAACGACGCCATTACAGCTCCCGGGCAATCTAGAGATTCTTAATCGTTCCCGAGAACAAGTTTTGCCACGTCGAGCCGACAGAGAGAGAGAGAGAGAGAGAGAGAGAGAGACGGCTGGCTAGGTGGAAAACATTAAATACCGGCTGCAATTAGATTCATAGGATCTCCCTATTGCCGTCACATGTAATCATTGTCTCGCGAATACGTTGTAACTCGCGCGCCGCTACCGGTTAATATCGCCATGGATAGGGGGGGTGGGGTGAATTAGCATTAATAACACGGGGTTCGAAGCAAAGGAGCGTGTTGCGAGGCGGTAACGCGAAATCAATTCAGGCTCACGGCACCGTGGCGTGCGCGCGATAATAACGACTCGAGAACAATAACGATATTCGAGCGACGATTAACCTCGAAAACGGTCGGGGTCCACAGGAGGAGTCGAATTCCCGTATCGAAGGTCGCGGTTCGAGTTTGTCCCGCCACGGGTACGGTAATCTGGCTTGTTCGTTTCCCGTCGTCGGCGAAAAATCGAGGAAGAAACGCGACGAAGTCGACCCGGTGTAACGCGATCGTTATTCGGCTCGTTCCCGTCGATCCTTTTGAGCAACGTCCTTCGAACGGCTGGGTGGTGACAGGATTCTGGGTGGTCGGCTGTCGGTCGTGGCAAAAGGAAGCTGACGTCAGTAGCTCGGTCATATTTCTTCTTGCCTTAAGATCATGGAACATGGGACCACCTCTTGGTGCCAGACTACGGCCAGGAGCTTTAACTCCTTCTGTTGGCCCCGGAAGCTTCCGGCCAGGCGGTCCTCCTCGCGCGCCTTTTGTTCGAAATGTCGCGAAAACTTTCTGACACGATGAAATATAGGGTTAGGTCCGACGGCAGACAACTTTCTTTCGAATAAATCAAACCTATAATCGTATTTGTACGATCGAACGGACCATCTTCTTATAGTGTTTATTCTGGTAATGGCAAGATGGCGGTTTTAACATTCTTCGCAGGCTTTTACGCCTTTAATTTTCTGCGATTGTTCGCATGCACGAGAGATGTTAACAACTCCCCAACGTGTTTAGCTCATTGTTCGTTTCCAGTGTTCTCCCCCGATGGTTTCCATAATTGCATCTCTGCTGATATTAGAATTAAAATAGAAAATACTGTCATCTTCCTCGAGTTTGCTCTACGTCTCGCTCAACTCCACCTACAACCGACCGTAGAATCAAAGTACCAATTAAAATCGACGAGTTTAACCTGTAGAAGCAAGATGGCGTATCTCGGTACTGTAAATTGAGGCTTCGGCGGTTGACGGTGCTCGTTGAAAGAAACAAGAAGGGCTTAGGAAACACGTGCCCGGAAAGTAATAATTTTCGATACGTCCAGGGCTTTTTAATTTGCGAGTCAATGATTCTTTGTACGACTACACACGTAGAGCGACCGATATAGCGAGAGTTCAGTGACTCAACAACTAACAGATGGCCTCGATATATCTTGTTTAAGTAACGCTCCTCTTAGATTATTTGCCGTTGCTTTCGTCTCGAATGTATCCTGTGTGTGTCGAGGGCTATCGGCAACCGTTGATCATCGGTCCAAACAATGCGTTTCAAGCCGTTTACCACAATTTGAAATAAACCAAAATGACGCCCTCGTTGAATATTTTTGGAATCAAGAGCTCTTCCTCACTTTTTCCTTGCATTCTCTATCGACGTTTCGGTTTAGATTCGATCTCTCGTCCCCGGTGTTTCACAAATACTCGCGACTCATCGTGCAAGCAAGCAACAACAGGGCGTCGCGTGTCGTTATACAACGTTATTAATGCACGCACACGACACACCTCGAGCGGATAGCAGGTTGCTGTTACGTCCGCGACGGGCGGAACTCGAGTTGGCTCCCGAGGCACAGAAAATTCTGCACAATCCTGGAAATATTAATTGTTCGCCGTCGTTGCGATATAGTATCGATCCCTCGAGTCTCGAGCGAAAATGACCCGGTATCGTTTTCGAAGGGGTTCAACGGCATCGGTTTTTTGCCGGGACGAAGATCGAGTGAGAGGTTGTTCGTCGAGAAAGGATCAGAAATTGAAGATGAAAACCGCGAACGCGTGATGTTCGTGAAAGAACGCCGAGGTCGCGGCGCACGCAACACGCACGGTTGAGGTGTTAATTTTAACACCCAGGCTTTCCCCGATGGGTCGCCACCGTCGACCGGCTGCCGCACGGGGCCCCGGCGGAGTTCTCGCGCGTTTCGCGAAACCAGTCTCGCTCCCGATGGCTCAATAAGGAAATTGCGCGGAATTTTGTGCGCGACGGACGGAGGCGCGTTATTGTTTGTCGCTGTACGAAACACACGGCCACGGCACGCCGGGCGAAACAGAAGCGTACGGGGAAAAGAGGGGTGGGAACGTGCGTGTGCGACAAGTGCCGCGGCCTGTGAGTGCGTACGTGCACGCAGATGCACGCGAAACAACACGCAACGACCGGAGAGACGCACGCGATGCGCCGCTAACTTAACTTTACCTTCGTTTTTAACGCGCGTCGCGTCCTCGACGAACGAATACGCCAAAAATTCCCTCCTTTATTTCGCACGCGTTCCGCCACTCGTCGAACGTCGACCCTCGCCGTAATTTCGCTCCTCCATGCGGCAAGAAACTTGGTTCGAAAAATGGCAATTGTCCTGTGGTCGACTTGCAAATTTTATTCAGCGTTCGCCAACGAGATTTTTTAGGTTAGTTCCGAAACTAGATTTTATCTAAGTTTTATTTAAACAGTGTTTCAACGTAACCTAACCTGTTAACTTAATATGTGTAGCTAATAATTAGCCAGCGATTAGCCACCTACGCTGCCTTTTGGAACACGAGCGTTGATCGAAGCGTTCAAAAAAACCTGTGTTCGATAAGGGAACGGACGCGCCTTGGGGTAAAACCGGTTGCATCGACGGAGGCGTTAGAATGCGAGATTAAACGTTTGCGCAGAGTCGGCGGAACGACAAAACAGCGATCTTAATAGCGGCGTCGGTCGAGTTTCGAGCAGTCCAAGAGGGAAACGGTGAAAGTAATTGCTCGACGCCGTCGCTGTCAAATACGTTGTTGAAAATTTGACGAAAAACCGGTTTCAGCACGCGTGCCCCGGCGAACGTTCGCGAGCAACGTCTTCAAACCGTTCGCGAAACCATATGCAATCGTATTTACGAATCTATTTGAATTTTTTGACCCTTTATTAATTTTCTATCGAAACGAATTATTTTTCGGGTGAAATATATTTTACCATTTTAGCACACGATATATCTTCGCGCGTTTGCGACGACTGTGTGTGTTTTAGCCGCAGCACCTGTTCCATTCGACTTCCGCGTTAATCTTGAAGTCAGACTTCGTAGACTGTCGAAGGTGAACGGGTATTTATAATTGTCGGTAACGAGAAGATTTAATTTGATTTATTTATTTGTGGGAAAGTTCCCAATATCGCGATGAAGAAACCGGTAGAAAGTGGTCTATCGTTGATGGATTATAATCGCTAGGTGAAATCAAAGACTGTAAACTGAAAAGTACAAACGAAGTAGGTCACGGATCATTTAATAGAATAGAAATATTAATAGTCTGTTCTTGAAAATGTTCAGTATATAGAACACGCAATTCAGCTATTTCCACTTAAACGACACGGTTAATGCGTTATATTATTATTCGAGCAACGCGAAGACCCAATTTACAAGTAATGCGTTTAATATAAGCGGAGCAATAATTCACAAAAATGTGTTTCGCCATTATTTATAATTTGTAATTAGTCATCGTGCGTTATCTTTTGGAACAATCTACAACGCACAGTCCACGCTTTCTTTCGCATGTTTCGCGTACATATATAACATGTTTATTTCTTTTTCCTTACACTTTACGGTCGGAGCACACTCCCGTAATCTTTATGTTTGCCTCGCATAACGCGGAATAATTACATTCAATCTTTCGTCTAAACGTTATTGCTGATTAGATATGGGCGGTCTTCCTTCGAGCTAAGTGTAATATAAGTACAAATGAACCTAATCTCGTCTTAATAGCCCATACCATTTACATATTCCGATGAAATAATTATCAGACGCCTGCATCGAATTACAATGCAACAGCTGTAAAAATAATTTAGGATCCAACGGTTAAATTATCGACGATATGGTAATCGTCGTTAAGATATCGATAACTCGTGTACGCGCATAATGTATTTAATTACCGAAACAATTACAGAACATATTATCGATACGTCGATAACTCATCGCCGATAGAAATCGATTTCTGTAGTATTCGGACGATCGTTACCCGCGTTGCAAATGTTTAACATGTTTTTCTTGAAATAGTGCTTCTAGAATTAGCCAACGCCGACTTCTCGAGAACGAGTGGATCGATTTTTGTAGGTTACGGAAGCAGACGAATTTCTATTAGAAATAAAAAGCTCTTGCTACCGTGAAACTTGGAAAAGTGATATCTGTCGTACGTTTTGCGTACTAAAATACCAACCGTCGACTGAAACATCGAGTACGAAAGAGGGGGGAATATCGCGTTAAAACGCGATTCGTTCCAGAGAACCGAAGACCATGGCGTGGAAGGGTTGGGAGTGAGGAGGAGGAGGGGGGGAGGTTAGGTCGGTGAAGCGTGTTCGGCAATACTTCCTCGAGAGAAGCAATTTTTTCTGGCGGCCGGGGCGACACGCGTATGGCGCAGTGTGCGGGCAAATGCACGGGTATCACTCGCGGATCCAATTTGAGATACGACGCCGGAAGACGCATTGTTCGCGCGGAATAGTACAAATTAACAGATCGGTATCGTGACCGGTGCAATTAACATTGTGTACACTGGCGCGGTGGATTGGCTTTCTTGAAATCTGACGGTTTAATTAGGCGCCACCTTCGTGGCAGATGCGCGCCCGGTTCGATTAATTACCCCCGACTCCCGACTCCACGGCTTTACCTATCGTTCGAGTACATCTCGACTCGTTTAAATCGACACGCTCGATCGTCGTGGAAAAAAGAGACGAAAACTTGGAACTTGGTAGTGTAACAAAGCCGTAGGAGTGTATCATGAAATAAGGCGCTAAAGTGTTACGGAATTTCTCAGTCGAGTAGTTCGGTTCCGACGGAAATTAAGAAATCTGAACGAACAGAGTAATAAGAATATTAACGACGAGATTCATGGATCTATACGAGCTCTCGCGACCCAAAGCTTGGTAATTATTGCGCTTAATGCTGCTGCTTAATATTATATCGAAGGTAATCAGTCTCACTAGAGGGGGTTTGCGTATAATGTATGGCTGTGACACTATTTTTATAGACTAGTCCGGTTCACATTATGCGGTAGAACGGGTTTACAAAGTAATAGTACGCGTATCATCTGTAGGACGTTAGCCCCTCGTCGATTATGCGTTATGGAAAAATGAGATAATATCACACAGAGGCGAGAACAAAAATATCACTGCGAATCTAACCTTAAAAATAAAATGAAAATGTTCGTATGGGCGATGAATTTTGAGAACCCCTGCGAGAGAGTCGCCTCTGGAAAAAATGGCGTTAGCTTAAAAAGGTTAGGAATCGCAGGTTTAGCAGCACGACGCCGTGTCATCCTTTCACTTTAGCATTTTCTAAACACTGTCATCCGACAGTCAATAATTATGCTATTGTAAATCTGTAGCCATTCCATGGCGATCGCCCACGAGGAGCCATTGTTCGTGTCAAGGCTTTTGACACAGCCATAAACCTTTTAAAAGTGAACTAACGCCTGTGTATCCGTCTTCGGGACATTTTCAAAATACGTTTGACGGTAACGTATGAAATTGCAAGGTATTTTGCACAAGGCTAACGAGCCGCACCTCAGGGACGCGTTTTCTGTCTCGAACTGCCTCGTGGCTTCTCGTTTCTGAAATGATAAATGCTACACGATTTATACGTAAGAGGTATATTTTGTTCGGTCACGGGAGCAAAAATTACAGCGTTTCGTCCTGGATCTGCTAGTGAGCATTTACGACAAGTCTTCGCGGATCCTGTCTGAAACGTGCCTCTCGCGCGCTAACCTAAAAAAAAACGGTGAAACGGTGAAGTTGGTCTTTTTGTAACCCGAGTGACCATCGATGAACGCTAATGTCGGGGCATAAAACGAAACGTAAAATTTAATAAACGCAATTTACAGCTACGTCTTTGCAGCTTACGGGCAATCTTCCGTCTTTAAGACCACTGTTTCCATCTATTGGCAACTTTGTAAAGAAATTCTCGGTACTTGACTTCGAATTACGACGGTCTAGTTACAAACTAGAAATCTAGTTTCACTGTCTAGTTAGAAAAACCTCTCTCTCTCGAAAGTCTGCTAAAAATTTTGAAAACCACCGACGGTTCGTTGTTGTACTCGATCGTGGGAAATTACAGAAAGGATTGGAACGATTTCGGGAATGTTACAGGATCGAGGACGTCCCCGGTGAACATCGTGGCGACCGCGACAGTGGTGACGGACGAGGCGTTGCTGGCGGACGACGAGGTGGAGAACTGCGAAGGCGAGAGCGAGGGAACGGAGAAGTCCGGTAACGAGGAGGACGAAGAAGTGGACGTGGACGTCGAGGAGTGCAGCAGCGTCGACGACGGTCCGGTTCACGGGCCGGACGACCTGAGCACGACGTCGTCGTCGAGGAAGTGCCAAGATTCTCACGGCGACCACGAACGGAAGCATCGGCTCAGGACCAGTTGCAACTCCGACGAGCTTCGGGACGTCGAGTGTCATCTCGAGACCAAGGAATTGTGGGACAAGTTCAACGACCTTGGCACGGAGATGATCATCACGAAGACTGGCAGGTAAGCCGTGTGTTGCATCTAGTTCGACAAGACGCGTCGGTTCCGTTACAGCAGCGGACATTTTGTTGCGATTCAACAGCGAAATTCACTAGTTTTTAACGAAGGCGACGAGTCAAGTTTGTATCTATGGTCGAGCAGGTTTTATTTCACTTCGTAACCTACCCTTTGGATCTCTTTCGTAAATCGAATTTACAATTTCTCCGGTTTCGGTAGTCGGGATAGGTCGCGTGGCGCGCAGGTGCAAGGAAAGATGGCCGTTCGTCTTGGTAGTTTAACCGATTGGGAGGACGATCGCGAAACGGTAGGTTTCAGAGAGGGAATGTCACCGTTTCGTCGGAAGTCGGAGTAAATTAGTTTCCGTTCGTTCGAGCGGGAGTGTTCGGTTTAATTGGCCGAGTTTACCGAGTGCGAAGAAAATGGTCGCCCGACGGGTCGCGGCGGCGACGTGGAAAATGAAATTTTTCGGGACAAGGGGACCCGGGGGCCAATTAGGCGCCGTTAAGCCGCCCGCGATGTTGCAATTACGTTTCACGGTCATTAATTATCGCGCTAGCGCGGCAACAAAGGCAGGTCTCACCGGTAACCCTCCCGGGCGAATGGGCGACAAACGCAAACAAAAGTTTCGAACGAGGCGACTCGAACTAATGGATTTCATTGACTGACGTTTTACGAGATATTTAAGGGAGTTTCGGATGTAATTTATCGTGGCAATTTATGCCCCTTTGTGGATATACCGCGCGCGCGTTCATTTTTATAGGTATGCTAATAAAGTCGAGGCCGCAGCTGCGCGGTCTAAGGATGCGTGACCGCGTACAAGTTACGAGATACATATTTGCTCGCGAGGGATACTGGTCTAACGCTGTCCACCGTAAAACGCCGTGAAACGGTGTGTCTTGCAACCTTGAAACGATTTCGCGACGCCTCGGCCACGGGCGTTTCGCTTCCTATCTGACGGGACGAGATAGAGTTTACTTACCACGTACAAACGGTAGCGAGTTTTACGAAACCGACTGCATCGCGTACAACCAAACTCTGGTAATCGATGCGCGTCGGTCTATTTACGGCACCGGGTATCTCGTACCTATTGCACACCGATTCAACCGTCGCGACATCGAATACTACCGGGAGAATTTGAATGCCACTGATACTCGAGCTAATATCGTACGCCATCGTCAAACCGACAGATCTCGGAGCTTCGCGACACTCTGGGTTCAAATAAAACGCGTGAACGTTATTCGTTAGCAATTTAGGCTGAATTTTACATACGTAGAGACATAAATGTATGCTCTGATTAAAAGAAAAACAGAGGTTTCACTGTCAACGTAACTGTGAACGTATATTTTATTTGTATTATTGGTATTAAACCCTTTAGTACAAAGATGTAATATGCAAGGAACTACAGATGTGGATTTACATAGTCAAACATTATCGCTTAGTGAATGTAACAAAATAAATTAATTTACAATGATTGTTCAATTAAATCTGTTTTAGTGTGTAAAAAATTTGCATTACTAATCATTCTATTTACACAATTCTGAGATTCAAACGTAGCGCGGTAACTTTCAGAGTAAAATAAAAAGTGATTTCTTAAATATCTAGTACATACAAAGGAAACGATTGAATAATTGTTGAACATGAAATATGACTTCTGATTAGCTTATTTCCAAACATGATATCTGCAATTTCTTCTTCTACTATGCAGTGTTTGGAGATTAGTATTAATAAGTAAGTTATCATAATTATGAGACTCGAGAGGCATGGGTCTCCCACTGTGTCTAACAACGATACCAAGAAATTTGTGATATATTTTATTTGTAACTGTAGATCGAGTCTCTGAGCTCGTGTCCTCTTAAATAGAAAAACGACACCTCCTCGAAGCTTCGCGACCGTTACGATGCCGCGCAGACAAACGAACGAACGGGCCCGCGACATTGAGCGAATTCGCAGAATCGGACATGAACAAGGGAACGGAACCCCGTAAGGGTAGGGTTACACGCCGTCAAAACAAACCGAAGACAGATAAGACCGGCGTTGCCAAGCCCGTCTCTCGGTGGTTTTCAATCGTAAGACAAGGACAAACATAAAAACGGTCATTTTCGAAGCTCGTGCGACCTCGGTCCAAATGAAACGCATCGCAACGCAGGCAACGTCGTGAACGGTGTACGATCGTAAAAATATGCATCGATAATTAGGACATTCGGCATACTCGAGTACTTACATCGTGCCAGAGATAATCTCGTCCTGCTGGGTGTTTCCTGGCCGAGTCGATTTATCGTTTTATCCGGGTATTAACGGCCCCGGAACGTTTTGTCGAATGCAGACCGGGACGGACAGACGGATGGACAAGCTGCGCGCGTTATCACCGAAAGTCGAGCGCACGCGATCGGATCGCGTTTTGCCGCGTGTGTGTGCCGCGGAAAGCAAGTATGTAGATGGCAATCGAGAGTCACTCGAGAAGCGCCTCTCCTATCGCGAGAGCGTAATTATAAATTATTCGAACAGAAGCTCGAGTCGAACAAGCGATTCGCGTGCGGCGCGCGCTCGATGGCGTTTCGAGACGCGCGTCGCGCGAATCTGCAGGGGAAAATTTATGCCTCGGGGGCCCCGTCGGTTATGGGAATTAATATCGAAAAGCCGTTAGGTCGCGGCTGACCCTTGCCTAAAAATTGTATACGGTGAACGGAAAGAGGAAAAAATTGTCCAAATGATTCCGGGGCGTGTCGCCGAGCTGACGTTCTCTTCCTGGGCACCGATCGATATATCAAGAACGCGGCGATGCACGAATAGCGTCGTTAGCACGAGAAACTTGGCACGAAATCCCCGGCCGAACGAAAACGTCAGTCTCTCGAGTGACAATACGAATTCGGACCAATCAGGTGGAATTGTCTGGCCCCACGGGGTGCCAGGACCATATCCACTCCTCTGATTCTTCCTGGAGAGACCTAGCTTCGCGCGGGGTCTCTCCTTTTCCCACGTTGCCACCCGACAGTTTCCACTCTCTCGTTTTTCTCTCTCCCTTTCTGACCGCGCGGTTGTCCTCGTCTCCCGACGACCTCGATTTCGGTATCGTGAACAAAGCCAATTTTGTGCGTGCAAACTCGAACGCGACGTCATTGCCGACCAGAAGAAAGAGAAAAAAAAAAGAAAAAGAAAAAGCACGGACCCGTTGTAACGCGTTCGAGTCGTTTAAGGAAAGGCACCCGGAGGCCCCTCGGGGGCCCCCAGTCAGCTCCAGAACGTATAATCAACGAGTTTTCGCCGATCCTCGAATCCACCTGATCCGATAACGAACCCTTATCTTCGTTCACGACGCGAAACAATTCCAAATTCGATATTAATTTTTATCCGAACGAAAGCCTCGCCGCTGTTCACGAACTATGAAACCAGAGTTGATTTTCAGATATCAAAGTCGCAACATTGATCGGGAACGAAATGACAACGCGACTTTCAGTTTTCACGACGACGAATGTCGTGACGTTCGCTGTCACGGCGATCAAAGTCGTGATTTCACGTCACGTGAACACGCAGCTTTGGTCGAAAACCGTTCGACGACAAATCCGCCTGACGTGACAAAAGGAACGTGGGAGTCCTCGCAGAGTCTATCGGAGAAGATACAGTTTTCTCAAATTAATTTTAAAGTCATCGTGTCGAAAGACGAAGCTCCGTTGGACCGTCGATATTGTCGGTCGCTGACAATCGCGTCATCTGTTGTCACGCGTCACTAATTGTTCGCAAGGCGAATCCGTAATACATGACTTGTCATCGTTCTCCCGGCAGCCGTGCAGCGTAGACGTATCGCGCGAAAGAATATTCCAAATACGGTTTAGTTTTATTTGGAACAAGCTGAAGAGGGTTTCGAGAGTAACAAAATTGTCAAATGGGGACATTTTTGTGGAAGGAGGGCAGTGCGTAGGTGGCGACACGGTTCCCGCGCGTTTTTCCAACGGTCTCGCGCGACGTAACGGCGAGAGGAACGAAACGGTCGAACGGTTGGGCTGCGTCCGCGACGAGCGTGTGTATTTTTCAAAGTTTAAGTAGGCAAGCGTGGACTGCGAAGCAACGCACGGAATAGGAGGTGTGGACGAGCAGGTCAGCGGAGAGAGAGACAGGATACCGGCGGATAGAGGGTACTCGTCACGCGAACCCTTCATCAAGGTGCCAGCAACCTACATTATACACTCACACGTGCCTTCTCGACCGACGGGGTGAACGTGCACGTTACGCGAGAACGTGCACGGATCGCGAAACACGGGCTCGAAGAGCCAACCGTATGCTGGAATGAAAAGACGATAGGCGAAACCGCCGGGACGAGAGCGGACGGGAAGGGACCGGTAAACGTCTATTTATCCCTGTTATTCTGTCTTCTCGGCCATAACGAAAACCCAACCGAACGAGTCGTGCATACGCGCGACCCTCGCAAACGATACAAGGACTCCCGGGATCACTCATCCTCGGTACTCCCGATCGGTAGCGCGTGAAAAATTTGGAAAGAAACTATCGGTGAGTTTCAACGATATTTCTCTTAATACCATATTCCTGCCTCGAGCACGAACGACGTCGAGATCGAGATTTTAGACCGTACAGGTTAGAAAGTATCAATGGTCCGCCATGACAGTTAACGTGTGAAGCAGTAACAAATCGTCCGCCATGTTGGTCACAATGTTGAATAGTACGAATCTAGTTCCGATTCGATTCCCGAGTGCTGGAATTCGGATTCAGAGCTTCGAAAGTAATTTTTAGGATATACGGTGGCAGATCCACGAGGGTCTCGAGTCGGTCTTCCGTCTGGTAATCGTTCGATAATTTAGCTCGGGCTCGGGGAACCGCGTCTCCGCTCTCGAAATCGTCGAAAATCTACCCGCCGCGCGTAAAGTAGCCGCGGCATAATAATTATAACGGCGACAGCACCTGCCGCGGCGCGGCGAAGTCGTTAGCTCGGGCAAACATTTAAGTAACTCGGATGGGTCGTGTTCGGATCGCTATAATATCCACCGTTTCCGTAATCCATTTGTAGGAGCCCTTCCCACCGCCACTTTCCTTCGGGGCTGATGGCCTCTCCCGACATTCCTCTACCCCTAAAACGCCTACAGGCCGGTTCAGCTAACTCGATCGCCTGAAATTCCTCGTAAAGTCTCCGCGACGAAGAAGAACCTCTTTGGAACGAAAGACGGAATAAAACGACGTTCGAATTTACATAGCCCAGGCTCGCGGAAAATTGAATCAAACCAAACAGTTTAGTTCGCTATTGCTTGGACACTGTTCGTTTACGTAATAGAAATTCGGAATTAATTTTAAAGTAGAAACCAGTTAATTTTAAATCGATAATTAAATTACTACGAATTGAGATTTCTAGTCGTGGAAACATTTCGAATTTCCGGTTTTTCGCTGGCATTACATGTTAAGCTCTTACTAATTTACTTGTTACCGAGAAAAGAGAATCAAATGAGCATCTTGTTTAATTATGGTAATAATTTTTGAAGCTGTTTCCATAATCATCCATTAATTAAGAACTGGTTTGTTTTTCTTTTTAACCGCACGGCGGGCCGAAAAAGATTAATAATCTTCCTCCGAGTTACGCTTTTACTAATTTATTGTCAATTATTCGTGGCACAATGCAGTCAGCGTTTATGGTCCGGTGGCTACGTACCGCTGATACAGAGATACAGGAAACGAAGAAAACGAGGATAATTACAATAAAAAAAGGGAAGAAAAATTGGAAAATGTATGCGAAATATGAAAAAAAAAAAAATGGAAATTACAGGCATCGAAGGTTTTTTTACTTTTATTCGCGGTGTATTAATGCAATGATACAATGTTTATTACAACGATAAAGAATTGGAAATTAAAACAATGAAAGATTCTTTTGGACATTAATAAATTCTTCTGATGTTTTTTAAACAATGCAATACCCATTTTATCTAAAAATATACGCGATATACTTCGTTCTTTATCATTCCGAGCAAGATATCATCGAATCGATCAGAGCGTGCTTTTGTAACTGATAATTACGCCGTCCACCGCGCATATAAAAAACATGTGCTTCCATTAGGAAACGAACGGTGCAAGTGCATCTTTGCACTCGACGTCTCGTACACTCAGACGTTATGAAAGTTTGATTTCTTTCTTTCGTTTTTTCTCGATAGAAACCCCCGCGATTTCTGCGTGAAATCGAAACAATGCGAACGCGTTGCTCTCGAGCAACACGCAACTTTCGTTGGAAGAATGTTGTTTACGCAAGGAACGGTTTACGAGGAATTTATGGTCGTCGAGTTAGGTGAATCACCCTGTACACGGTGCCCGTGCTACAGGGAAACAGATGTACGAATACACACGCACGGTTTACGGATGGTTTGAAGTTGTTCGAGGTGGTTTGGGGTCGAGGTGTTCCTACGATTATGGGCTCGTTAGCCACGGCCCATGGAGGGCCTGTTTGTTTCTGCCTAATTTGACAGGGAAATACACTGTAACGACAGACAGAATAGGGGGTGGGGGGTGGGTACTAGATGTGGAAAACGATTTTTCGTTTTCTCGATCGACGCGGGGCGGTTCGTTTCGTTTTATCGCGTCGCGCCTCGTTTCCCTATAATTTCCGTTTAATTCGCCCTCGAGATTTATTAGAGACGGGGAATTGCGCGTCGGAGCGCGTAAAATTAAATAAAAACGTCAACGGGCGAGCTATTTTACGGACTACGGGGGTCTCGTTTCGCTTTGCAAATTTGCACGCCAAGCCAGAAACGTTTTTAAAAAGAACTCCTTTCCCCAAAGCCACGTGGAATTATTTCACCCTTTTCGTAACGAAGATACTCGATTATAATTTAATAAAAATTTGATGTCTTCGTCGTTCCAACACGGTGGATTGAAAAAACATTTTTCGACGGAGACAAATTGACTCGTTGGCCGTGATTTTCGGCGAAGATAAAGGACCTGGGGATCCAGGCAGGGGTTGGAAGCGTAACTCGAATTAGGGACGAGGATCAGAGGGTATGCTCGATGGACTTGCTATCGATGCTTAATAGCGGTTTGAATGTATTTCCACTTATCTTGGATACAGGGGGAGGCGACCCTCCACGATGGGCAATTTTCTCGATGATATATTGCGTCACGTTCGGTGTTTACTACAAATTTCTACGGACAGGGGAGCGTCGTAGTACGAGCGCACAAAAAACCCCAGTATTCTCGTTAGTTTTTCTCGCGTTCCCGGCCTCTGCAACAGGAAGATCATCTTCTCTCAAACGCTTCCTCGACTCCAAGTTACTTCGAGCAAAACGACTCGTAAGAATTATTGGAGGCCACTTTGGTCATTTCAAATGGAAACTAATTTTTCTCGCTAGTTTTATTCCCATTCCCATTTCCATACACGAGAAACAATATCAATAGTAACACTTAAAAAATTTTAATTTTTGCTCTTTAGATATCGAATAATAAGTACATAGTCATATTCGTACGTTATAATAGTGATTGACTATAAAAAAAAGTTTCTTTTTATATCTTTGAATGATAATTAAAACTTGTCGAGGGTCGTGGCACGTTGCATACGCCGGTCACCGTCCGATCATCGAGGTTCAGCATCATTCGGCCGCGTGCAGCGCAGGATGGGTTTTACCGCTAGAGGAAAAAAAACACGTATTTCTCTCGATCTTTAAATCGTTTAAGTTATTTACGCCTCTCTACATGCTACAAATATTAAAAAGTCACTTTCTAAATAGAAATAACACGCAACAAGTGTAAATAAAACAAGATTTAGAAAAAAATCACGGTGAAATAAATACAAAATACGGAGTGGGGCAGTAAATTAAATTGTAAGTCGATATCCTCTCCATTTTCTCGATATATTTGCACACAACCTTTAACCATACAAATTTCATCAAAACATCCATTGTTACAACCAATGTGTTTCTGCAAGTGTGTTCGTGCGTGGATTGGGCAAGGAAAAGGAGAGGACGCTAAATAAATTCGAAGGGTAGAAAAAGTGAAGATATTAACAATATTTCTCTTAAGCGAGATTCCCTTTCCAGCTTAACAAGATCCGTGTTCGGTTTTCTTGCGCGGTTTCTCCACGGATGATCGGCGTTCCTCGATGTCGGAGGAAGCCCCGGTCGAAAGGCTCGTTCATCCGTGAATGATCCGCGATCCTTGCGGTGACTCCTCGAAGCGATTGCGGCGTTTGCGGTCTCTGGATCGTCGTTCGATGATCGATTCGAAGCTGACGATTTGTTGCGTTCGCTTTCGACGCGATCGCGTGGACCCCGTGCAATTATCTCGTCGTTGTTCCCTTTGTAGTGTTTAACAGGTCGCGGAAAGAATAGTCAGAGGAGAGAAGAAGAGTTAGAACGGAACGGTCCCGGAGATCCTCCAGCTCAAGATGGCGATGAGTCCGCATATCTGGCTGGACAAAAAGATCTGATAGCCGGACGTGTGCCTCGCGAACGCCGTTAACAGTAGGAAAATGAACGAGTAGAGAGCCACGTTGATCAAACGGCACGAGCAATCGGAGGTTCTCAGCATACGGGATCCAAAAGCGAGGATGAGTTTCGTATGCGTGGAGATTCTCGCCATCGTCGAGGAAATCGACGATTCTTGGCCGGTTGATTCCGTCTGAGTTTTCTTCTCCTCCCACGTTCGACTCGATTCCTCTTCCGGTTCGATCCTATTCTCTGCCATCGACTCTTCCGACGTGGTTTCCTCACGACCTGGTTCCTTAGGCAGATCCTCCGACGTGGTCCATTCGTCCTGAGAGTCCCGTTCCCTCTCGTTGCTCGCGTCCCTACCGAACACAGCGAGCAGATCCTCCTTGCAGAGTCTCATTCGAATGCACGGAGGCAGCTCCTCCAGTAGCTCCATGACGTTCTTCATGCAGGCTCTCCGACAGGACTTGTTCCGCGGATTGCACGGTCCCGGGCACTCGATCGATCGATTCATGGCTGGTCGGGAACCTGAAACGCGTTCGAGGGTTTTATCCAAGTTAATTTCGTTGTTCTCCGCGGATGGAGGTCGGAGTGAGAGAAACAGAGCATCTCGCGAAGCCGTAGGAAAGCGTGCTCGGGCGCATCGACATCAACGAGGACGCGCATCTGCTGGCGCGTGCGCCTCGACGCTCGAGGTGTTGAAAAGTAGACTGCATATAACGAGGTTCAAGGGTGACTCGCTCGTAACGAAGCTTGAAAGGCCTGCGGGCGCTCCTTTCAATCAAACTGACTAGTTAGACGCGCCTCCACATTGGATTCTAACTCGAGAACTCACCACGGATCCGACGAGAATCGCCCGTTCCTCGAACGTTCCCGGCTATCCGTTTTTTTCTTTTAAGAGACCACGTGCGCGTTAACGACGTTCACGTATACAGTGCATCGTTTTTCGCCATTGATCCGTCTCTGGTAAATTTTTTATCCGGTTAGAGGTTACACGTTAAATTTTCTGTTGATAAGATCGACCATCGCGAACAACTTCAGTCGTAAAACCGCGAACAAACGTGCATTTCATTTTTCATAACGATCCAAAAACAGAAATTCTATCTACCGTAACTGTAACATTTCTACACTATAATGGTTATTTTTTTTTATAAGTAAATTTATTCTTTATGAATTGGAAACTGGTATGAGTTTGTTCGTACATTGAGATATTTAAGGGTTTAAATTATAATTAACACTTGCGATGCATTTTCGCGATTTAGCGCGTTCGAAGTGTCCTCTCAGGCCCAGGTTTAACGAAAAGTCGTGTAATTTGTGATTGCAGGCGGATGTTCCCGACCTGTCGCGTGTCGTTCAGCGGTTTGAAGTCGGAGGGCAGGTACGCGGTACTGATGGACATCGTCCCCGTGGACAACAAGCGTTACCGGTACGCGTACCACAGAAGCTGCTGGCTGGTCGCGGGCAAAGCGGATCCCCCGGCGCCTGCGCGGCTCTACGTGCACCCGGACTCGCCGTTCACCGGGGACCAGCTACGAAAGCAGGTGGTTTCGTTCGAGAAGGTCAAGCTGACGAACAACGACATGGACAAGCACGGTCAGGTAAGAAATCTACGCCCCGTAATCGGTCGTTCGTGCACCCTCGTAAACCGCGAGCATGTGGGTCAAATATCGATCATGGAAAGCAATCTCCCGACTTTCACCTCAAACCACGGACCAGTTTGGTGTTTTGGTGAATCATAGGTTTCTAAGAGAAGATCATTGATCGATAGTGGAAGGAAAAAGGTGTGTTTTGTAAAACGCTTAAAAGAAAGGATCCGCCGGGACACCGGGCGCGAGTCAACGTACGCGCGGTTATTTATCGGTAAATTCACACATCCTCGCGTGTCCCCCCCGTCACCGTTCGCGCGTAAGTATCGCGAAAATAAAGCGGACGATTTAACGAACGACCGGTGCCAACGACGTCGACAATGCTCACGGATTACAGTGTCGTTTTTCACGCGTCGAGATCGCGCCGTTTCGCTCTCCTTCGTGGTGTCGGGGACGACGTCGTTGACGAGATTTCGGACGTTCGGGCGCACCGAAAATGGCCTCGTAAAACGGATACGCGACGTTACCACGGGGCCGCGTAGGCGTGGTTATTATCAACGCCGCTCGTTAATCGTGGGCGTCGAAGCTGCCAAGGGGCCCCGTGAAACGTAATATTCCGTCGTCGTGTCGGCCCCGGATCGATGACAAACCAATCTTTCCGCGCGCGTGCTAAAACCTTCCGGGGGCCTTCGTGTCCTTTTTTCTCCTCTTTTTTCTTCGTTTTACCGCTTAATTACGCTCGCGTGCGGATTCGTTAATGGTGTCGCTACCGTTGCTCCTCTCGTCGTTCGACCAGCCCTCGTTTTTTCCCTTTTTCTGCTCTCTCGTCTGCATTTTTGCTTCCTACGCACGCGACTCCCCTCAAAACGCCCGACGACCTCGGAAACTCGGTGAAAAGTTCTCGCTATCGGGAGAAATCCAAGCGTCGATATCGAATATTCTCCGCTGCAAACCCCGGACAGGTAACGTCGAGCGTGTACTAAACGAGAGCTTTAGAACGGTATTGCACCGTGTGCGACACCGTACCGTTATAGACACAGCGCAAAACACCATCGATACAACGATATTTTAAAGTCAATAACCCTACGATGTATAGACACGGATGTATGTGCATGCACGTACTTCTGTAACTATGCGGTGACCTTTTCGAATCGTATCGAAGTCCGGCTAGGCCAAGTTTGTGGAAACTGTTCCTACGCACAGTTTGATCCAGATGGATCAGACTCGATCAAACCACGACAAAATCAGGTTGGAAGTACAGCAAGAACTCGATAAATGTCACTACTCCGGTTCCGGTCAGAATAGGAGGATCGTTTTTCGAACGTAGAAAGAGTCAGTAGCCAAAGAAGAAAGAGTGAATTAATTTAACACTAGATTGCCCAAGGAAGTCATTTTGACTGCTTTTTAATTTCAATTAGAAAAACAATTATGATGATGACACAATTTCTTAGAATTTTGTAACTTTTTGTACAACATATATATGCATTTATTAATAATTGTAGTTACCTCCCCCCTCCTTCATTTCCGGTATATATATGTGTTATACCTATATCGCCTTAAATTCATAATATTAAAAATTAATTTTAAACAAATTTCTTTGCACATTAGTTATTCTTTCACAATGCAGTCATTTTGACTATATAGTATATAATATAGGTATATACTAAGTACTTCAGTCTTCCTAGTGTTAAACGAGGGTGACGAAAGCAATAAAGATTTTTAAAGAAAGCCTCACTGGTATCATTTACGGAACAGCTCTTGAGAACCTTAATCGAGTTCTCACCGTATCAGGGAAATTATTTTGTACAAGAAATTATTTTCGTTCCTCCTTTTACCTTTCGTTCGATCACCCGTCGAGAGAAATTCAATAATCGTTGGAACAATTATGTTGTCCGATTAAAATAACATCGAAGCGTCGGTATCGCGAGGGCGGAGGCGTCGCGTATCTTTTTCTCGTTTGTGCACCGGGGAGAAGACGGCGCGAAGGGAATCGAGTCCGTTTCTTTCTTGGCCGTTGAAATATTTCGCGGTCGCGGTTAACTTAACGCCATAAAAAGTGCAACTGTATGGCGGAAAGAGAGTAGCAACCGTCGCGGGAAAAAGAGCTCGTTGGATATCCGGCGAGAAGAGGAGAAGGCGCGCGCGAGGGTCGCGCGGAACCGTCCGCTCGCGGACTGGCCATAATGTTAGGAGCATTATAGGCGGTTGGTGGTGGTGTCGTAGGTGGTTGTGTATAGTAGGCAGGATGGCGTGCCTATAAGCTAATAAATTGAATGGATGTTTGCCCGGAGCTTTTGTCATGATGATCACGAGTAGCCCACGCCTGGGCCCGTTGAGCACCTTTTGAATCTCTTCTCCCGCCAGTCCTGTTCCCCGTCTCCCGCTTCGCTCTCTCTCCTCCGCGCTCGTAGAAACTTCGTATCTCGCCTCCCGTGTTCGTGTTCGTGTTCGTGTTCGTGTTCGTGTTCCGTTCCGTTTCGTTTCTAACGCGCGATATCGCGCCTAGACATTTACAAGCTCGTGGCTGAAAAAGCTTTGCTCGACCGCGCTACAACACACGTTTTCCTCGCCGTCCGCTCGGAACGATCGCTGTTGCGTACCGGACGAAACCCACCAGAGTTCGACTGAAACGTAATTAAATGCTCGTTAACGCCCATTCCTTGGCGCCAGCTCGCGATTCCGATCCCGCGGCAACAACCTACGCGCCTCCTGTCCATCCGCGCACGCGTCCTAGATCTGCTAATTCGGCTACGAATTCGCGTTACTTCTGGTTGCAATAGACTCGGGTTATTCGCATTCCAGGCGCTAGGATCGAGGTCTACACTCTTCGTCAGGGATACTTGCAGTGTTTCTTTGACCAGTACAGAGTACAATACCCCTTTAAAACTGATCCGATCTCGCCAAAAATGGCTACCAGTGGACAGTTATCGTTCACGAGCTAGGATATAACGCAACGAATGTTCGAACCGAGTCGTTGGCCGCACGGATAATATAAATCGGGCTTTAATTGCGAGGAGAGTGTGTAATGGGTGGATCTCCGAACGGGCTGAAAGCTTATTCCGAGCGGCGGAGGCGCGTACGCGAGAAACACTGGCGCATAAAGGATAGGTAGGCGAATATACACGTAAAGAACGGTCGAAAGGAAGCTCGAGGGGCCCCGTTGAGATATGGTGAAAGAAAGAGAAGGAGAAAAAGCTAGGCAGCCCGAGTGTCGAGGCGAGGAACAGACACACCGGTTAAAAGCAGTCGTGCCGAGCGGAGCCGAGCCGGGAGAGCCACGCAACGCCAGTCAACTCAACTCGACGACTCAAGTGGTAGGGAACATTCCTTCGCTACGGCCACTATTTCATCGTTTCGTATGACGCGATATTATAAGACCCCCGCCTGTGTGCTGGCTACTACACGGTGGTCCAAAAGCAACCATCCACCTGCGAACGGACCGACTCCGAGGCGCGTCCTGTTCATCCGCGATCCACGCCGTATGGAATCCCGGATCGATCGACGTTCCTTCTGCTTCTTAAATCCGAATTACGTCGGAACGTAGTCCGGGAACACCGATACTTTTTTACAACGACCGCGAGATCGAGTTTAATTCGAGTCCCGGTCCTTCTGATACATTTTTTTATTTTCCACCGATCGAAGGATCAACGGACGCGGTGGATCCTTCGGATCGAAAATAAGAAACATTTATTGGGATCGAGGTTGCTTGGTAGCGGGAACATGAGACGGAAAATTCCTGGGTCAATTTCGACACATGAGAACCGTTCGTCTCGACGTTGGGAAATATTCGTTCGATGATTGATTTTATTAGTAGATGTGGTTCGAGTGCCCAAAAAGTGACTACACTTGGGTCCTTAAGTCCCTTATCGCGTCTAGTAACAGAGTGAATTTAAAAAGTAACTACGAACGAACTATTTAAAAATACCAAGAAATATAAGGGTTGGTAATAAATTAAAAATTAAAGTAAATTATTGGCATTGGCGGCAACCACGGTGGCTTTTAGAGTAAGAGAAGAGTGGCAAGGAAGAAGGGTGGTAATAAAATTGTTGCGTCTCTGGTGGCGGTAAGCGCACACCTGACGTTTCCGTTCCAAGTATAGCGGGGGAAAAACGATTTCTTTTCGTTCGTGGTACGAAACAGCGCATTACCGACAATGTATGTACCGTGACTGACTCATCGGCGGGAGAAAAAACATATCGAACGACGGTGGCTACGGCGAGGCTAGGCCCTGGCTCGCGCTCCGTAGGAAAAGCCTGGAATCAAGGGATATTAATAATTTCTTAACGCGGCGCACTTGTAGCGCCGGAGGTGCCTCGGGTGGCTCCGGTACGGCCATAATATTGAGATTAAAAATGATTTATGATCCATCGGCCGGTAGGGGTACGATATTCAATAGAGATTTACGGTGTAATTGACTAAACGGCGTAGGCGAAAGCGCGACGGACACGAAAATCGATCCGATGAAACGCGAATACGCGGTCGTTATCGATATCCGTCGCTTTAGCGCGCGAAAAGTAGACGCGCGGTGGGCGTTCGTTTAACCGACATTACGGATTCGGACAAAAATTTCTACGTCTCCGGGGCGGCTTTACGACGGCGGTGATTGGCGGAAGATAGAGTTACCAAAGAAAATCACCGAGCCTCCATAAATCACTCGTAATCTTTTATCGAAAACTCCTGGAGTCGCGCACCCAACTGCAGCTCGATTAATTAACTGGCGTTCGATTAATCGCGTCGAGAGTCCCGACTGGTAGCAAAAACTGTAACAATTCTTCCGGTGTCTACTTTTAAAAGATAAAGAGTCTCTTTCTATGCTTTTGAAACTGATACATTGAGATAGTTAAGGGTTTAACCGGTCACCCTCCCGATCATCGAAGTGCAGCATCATTCGGCCGCGTGCAGTGCAGGGATGATGGGTTACCGCTGGAGAAAAAAAATACGTATTCTCGATTTTTAAATGTTTCAATTATTCACGCCTCTTTACCAAGGTATGCAATTGAGTAATAATTACA